CTTCAACGTTTATACAGCAAGGCTTTATTTAAACGATTCCTGAACAACTCAGAAGGAAGGTTATAGTAAAATTCAATTATTTATTACAAAAAAAAATACACGCTTTTTCTTATAATAATATGACACAAAAACACTTTTGTTATAATGATATAATAAAAATACTTCTTTAAAAAATCTACTGTTCAAATATGTTATATTCGAAATCTCACTACCCAACAACTTGTCGATTGACTATATAAACGATATTCAGTGATATCGTCACGTATAGCAGTTACATGTAATGACTGTTTGTGTTTTTGCATGTCACATAACGGTATTGGTTTTGCTTTTGGCAAGACGTACGGAACTAGTTGCTGATTTAGATTGCTGTCTAGTCATAATTTCTTGCCAAACCAGTCTTTTAACGATATTGTCAATGACATCTACTATGCCTTTACCGTGACTGATAGCAAAAGAAGCTTCGGGATAAATTTAAATCATAATCAATTAACAATCTTTTTAAATTCTGAAATAAAAATCGTTGCTTGAATTGAGAAGCAGTATCATCACTAAAATATAGCATTGCTTTTTTAAAATCTGGTAAGTTTTGTTTTAATTCACCTATAATATACTCAAGACAGGTGTTAATATAATATTTATTGTGTCTAATATTGTGTGAAGGCAAAGCTAATGAGAAATTCAATGAATCATACCAGGTATATGCAGTAAAAATTGGGTGTGGGGTGTGGGTGTGGGTGGGGTGTGTGTGGGTGTGTGTGGGTGTGGGGTGTGGGTGTGTGGATGTGGGTGTGGGTGTGGGTGTGGGTTCAATGAAGAACAACACCCACTCCACACCCGCACTCACACTCACACCCACACCCACACCCACACCCACACCCACACCCTTGAAAAACTTTTTGTGGACATCGAGTGATCCTTACAGCTCGAAATGTTTCAAGCTGAAATTGATTTGACTCTGAATGTTTTATGTCAGATAATTTGAATACCGATGTCACGTCATAAACTATGAATGACAATTTTATAATCATTACATCGACATCAATGACGAACAAGACGAAGAAGATAGATCGACCTATAGAAATTGAGAATGCTCATTGAAGTGATCGTCATCTAATGAGAAAGAATGATAATCATGAAATTACTGTATTTGTCCGTTTGAACGCGCTGACAGATCACCATTAACTAATCTATCCTATTTGGTCATCTTGGATCAATACATGATTCTGTTCGTTCGATTAGACAGTGAAATTGAATACTAGACACCATTACAACGTTCACATTGAGCGAACGACGAGATATACAAAATAAACCATCATTGCAAGAAATTTTTAAGGTCAAAAAGGCCACGAAATCATTTTTTGCTATTGAGCATATTGTTAAACAGGTGTGTCTCTAAGAGCAATACAATCAGATCTTTGAGATTTTATCATATGATTTTGACGAAGAAGTCAAACGGAACTGCTCGACTCACTGTGAAAAATGATCCACTCGAAGAGATAATGTGTTTCCCTCTGATGTTAATTTTGTCCATTTACCTGAACAGAGTCTTGATCGGAGACTTCCTTCTTTTTGATCAAGAAAGATCCTGTGGCAGGTAAGTATGCTCTTTCAATCACATCACTGACCTTCTTATACTTTAACAAACGGCAATAATTGTACAGTAATGATCTTTTGATTGCTGATGACTCATTATTCTATTTCTCTTTTTTATAATCACTCTCGTTTTCCTGTTCTCTGAATATGATGAAATCCTCTTGAGTCATGACTGACACAGACATGAAGATAAATGACAACTGTGAAACTTTTACTCTTTGTGAAAGTATAAAGCAATAATTGAGTCAGTATGATAGCTATACTGACCTCCACAGAATCTTCGCCGAACAAGAAGAGAGAAGATTCTGGTCAAAGCTTTGTCATTGTACATTGATAAAGCTGAAATTATCAGTAAGAGTGGATCATTTTTCACAGGGAGTCGAGTGTTTGCACTTGTTTCTTCAATAAATTTAGAATTTCAAAATCGATTTATTAGTTGTTTTATCTCTTAGTGTAGGCTTTGATAATAACTTTTCCTTTAGAAAATAAACCATAGAAATTCAATCGATGTAAAAAAAAAAGAATCATTCCTTTTCAATACCGATGTTTCATTACGAAGGTTTTTCAATCATCAACAAATTTCATTTGATACAAGAAGAAATGAAAGGAAAGGAAACCTGACGAATGCAATGTTTCATCAGTCGAAAGACAGAAAAAAAGGTACTTTGTTCATCCTATTTTTTGCAGTAATTTGGGTGTTGAGTGTTTGTTGATAAGTATTAGTGAAATTAAGGTTCATAACCATCATCATTCACATACTCTCTACAAATTTCAAAAAATGACATCATATCCAATCGGTTTAACATTTTCAAGAACCTGCTAGTTAAGTAAATCAAATAGAACAATAACAAAATTTTTTCATAATAAGCTCGATGAGAAACATCTTGGATTTCAATTATTTTTGAAGTCAAAATTAATTCTTCAACAATCAATATATGTTATTAGAACTTATTTTTTTTCGGAGTGCTGAGATGTATGATGACAAATTTTCGATGAATAACTTTTCTATTTGTTTCGTATTATTGACCTGATACTCTCGTAGATAATCAATTTGTTTAAATATATTGATCGAGAAGAATAAGATGACTAGTTTTTGTCTCGAGAATAGCAGCATGATCTAGTGTGATTATGAGTGTGGGTGGGAACACTTGAATTATAAAATTAATTAAACGCCTTTTATATGAACAAATGGATGAATACTTACAAAACTTAATTAGTAATTTTCACACATGTACAAGACAATAGTATTTCAAGAGAGTCAGAGCTTTATTTAATTTCTAGTTTTTTTTTTTTTAATAAAGTTTATAAATATCATCATTTTGATGTTTATAATCTATTGAAGCTCAAATGTCGATGTACCAATATTAATAATACTTGTATTATTTTAATCAGATATTTCATTGATGGATCGTTTTTGATTGTTACTTGATCAATGACATCTATTGATTAATAGAACAAAACAAAAAAAAAGAACCGAACAATTTTCCTTCTACTAGATTTTTGTTTTATTCATAGAAGTGTATTTATCTATATATAAAGCAAGTAAATAGCTGAAGCTTTGTGTGATAGAATAATGGACCCATAAAAATAATTAGATTTAGTTAGCACATAGGAACTGCTAATAGTAAAAACCAAAAAAAAAGATAAGAACCAGCCTTGTAATATAATTTGAGTTTCGGTCGATGACAAGAAAATAAAGTGTATTTAGTGCTCTATAAATCTTCTTGTTTTTTGCACTTGATTATATCCAAAAAAAAAATAGAAGAGTTATTTTCTTCGGAAAATATTCGTTACATTCATTGTCTTTTTCGACGAGTATAAAAACAACATTTGTCAAAGCTCACAAGTTTGATTATTAATCATCTTACCAGATTCAAGTTTTTTTTTTTATTTTACATAGAATATTACATATTTAAGTTTTTTATTGTGTATCCAGTAACGATGTTCTATAAAAAAAAACTAAAGATGTTGAACTTCTCATAGAAAGTTTATTGAGATGATGAATATATTAACATGACAGGTAATTATTTTCTTGTAGAATAGAAGTCATATCAAGTATAAAAGAATTGTTAGTAAGATTTAAATTAGTCGTCAAATCAATTTTGTTTCCGTTTGTTAAAAAAAAAAAACAAGGATATGCGTCGAAGACAATAACGATTATTTTCTAACCATTTATTTCTTATTTTATACTTCTAAGGACGAATTCAATTTGTTTTCTAATAAGATTTTTCTATTAATAATTGATTGTTAATAAGAATATTTCTTTTTTTTTTAGAACAAAAAACGAAGAAAATATGACATAGAAATATATTCAAGGACAACTGTTCTTTTCTATATATATATTGTTAACAATGACAATAATAAATACATCAAATTCATCATCAATCATTATTTTAATTTTAATTGGAATTTGTCTTAGTCTTATTGCATTAATAACTGCACTTGGAAATATAATTGTACTTTTAGCTTTTTATTGTGACAAAAATTTGCGAACAATCAATGGTAATTATTTATTTTGAGCATGACTGTAGATAGGAATACAGAGATGATTAACATTCACACCCTACATCCCCCGTACTCATATCTAAAAATAAATTATTTTTATTTTTAAAAGATTATTTTATATTAAATATGGCAATAGCGGATTTTCTTGTTGGCTCTTTCTGTATTCCATTTTATATTCTATTCAGGTTAACTTTTGTTTTGTTTTTTGTATGTCAAATATATATTCTTATTATATTTAGTATGACACAGTTATGGCCATATGGAAGTCTTTTTTGTAAAATATGGGTAAAGCTTTTCATTTGATTAATTAACTTATTAATAAATAATTTAATGCAAAAATAGGTTACAATTGATGATGTTGCAACAATGACTAGTGTTATTAATATAGTAGCAATTAGTATTAACCGTTATTGGTCAATAGCTTATCCTATATCATATCGAAAATATGTGAAACAACATTTTGTTTATTTAGTAATGGGAGCTATATGGTGTTTTTCTTTTAGTAAGATTTTATTATTAGAAGAATATTAATAAAAGAGTTCATTGTTTTTTTTTTAGTTAATTTTGCTCCGGGTATTTGGTTATTAAATTTATTTAATAATAATAATATAACACGTAGTGATTGTTCAGGTGATTATAATCGTTCATTTGTATATATGTTAATAGCACAATTCAATTATTTTATTTGGCCATTTATTGTTTTATGTGTTCTTAATATGTTAATAATGTTAAATATACGGAAACGAAGTCGAAAAATGAATCGTCTTATGTCATTTAATCAATATGCAAAAAATCGAGAACGAAATATTGGTTCATCATCATTAGTAACAAGTAAAGATACAGATGATGATCAACATTTGTCAATATTATCTAAAAATAAAATAAATTTAATTGAATGTTATCCATCAAAAATAACTAAAGAAGAAAATGAAAATATTGATAAATTTATTCGTGTTCAATTATCTTCTTCAAATAAAAATCTTTCAAATTTATTTAATCAAAATAATAAATCATCAAATAATTGTCAACATACAATTACACATTTACCATCACTTATTTCTTCATATTCAACAATTATTCAAAAACAATCTTCAACTATGTATGTTTATTATTTCTTTTTTTTTTTGTTTGATTTTAGTACAAATTCATCTGTAAATCGTTGTTGTTATAGAAATGAAAAAGATTCAAAAGAAACTTGTAAATCATCATCAATGTTATATTTATCAAGAAAATGTGCAAGTGTTAATTTTTCTTCTTCATATGATTATCGTAGTGATTCATTTATTGACTATCGAATTGGAAGTGAAACTGAAGTATCAAGATCGATAATAAGTGAATTACGTTCACAAAATCATTTAAATAATAATAAAAAATATAAAAGATATCGTCAATATGATTCAAGAATTATTCGAGATCGTAAAGCAGCACGTTCTTTATTTATTCTTGTTATTGTTTTTCTTATATTTTTATTTCCATATGTTATTTGTGCAATAGCTTTAACAGCTAATGCAAATATATCTGGAATTATATTTGAAATATCATTTTGGCTTTTATGGTTAAATTCAACATGTAATCCATTTCTTTATCCATTTATACAAATAAAATATCGACATGCTTATATGAAATTATTTCAATCTTGCTTAAAATATATTACATTTTCACGATCAAATCATTCTTTTTAATCGTTTATTTTCGTGTCAATTCTATTTGATAGGTTTTTGTTTTGTTTTGTTTTGTTTTACTAAATAAATGAATGAATAATAAACAATAGAGACGAGTTTATCTACATTGACTATTGAAAATGATATTTGAACGTAATAAGAAACAAAAAAAAAGAAAAGCTGAATATTAATATAAAAAATAGAACTTAAGAGTATCAAAAACTAGTGGCGGTCGCATATCAATTTCGTATAGAAGGCTTGAGGAAATTTTCTTTTTTTATGAGGTGATAGAGAAAACAAAGCTCTATTTTATCCCTATTTAGCTAGTATCATTATAATAAAATTTCGATAAGAAGTGTTTTTCTGTAAAACTTCACTAACGAGTGAAGTAGATTAAATGTTTCAATCATTTAATACGTTGCATTAAAAAAAAAATAAAATATACCACAAGATGCAACATGAAAAGCTCTACAATTTATAAAGAACACTTTAAAGAAATTTCTCTTCGCCTGATTTTTCCTTGGCAGCGAAAATCAGTCGCACAGAATTTTTTTTTGACAAGAAGTACACGATTAAAAGAAGCATTACTTTATAGCTTGTAGAGCTATTCACGCTGCATCTTGTGGTATATTTTATTTTTTTTTAATGCAACGTATAAAATGATTGAAACATTTAATTTGCTTCACTCGTTAGTGAAGTTTTATAGAAAAACAGTTCTTATCGAAATTTTATTATTATGATACCAGCTAAATAGGGATAAAATAGAGCTTTGTCTTCTCTATCACCTCATAAGAAAAGAAAATTTCCTCAAGCCTTCTATACGAAATTGAGACGTGGCCATCACTATTTTTGGGTACTCCTAAATAAATTATTAAACCTTTTTTTTCAAGACACATCATATGATGTGTTTAGTATTAGATGTTACGCGCAATAAGATACTGAAATTGCGGTGAATGTTTCAAATCTGTTGCTTAAATTTTATTTTTGAAATAAAATTTCTACGTAGATTTTATTTCAATATAATAAGTTTTTGCTTGTTAATAAATCTTAATTATTTTATAATTTTTATTTTTATTGAAAACAGATCAACTAACTTATTCGAATAATGATATGAATATATTATTTATTTTGTTTAAAAAGAAAAAAAATAAACCATAAATTTTAAATATTAGATGTTTTGTTATGTTTGATGAAACATAATATTATTAGTTACAAGATCAATTTCTTTCAAAGGTATAAAACGTGTCTTTTTAACAAATTTATAAACAAAAAAAATAATTAAAAAAACAGGTAATGTTATATAAGCTGCTAAGAAATTACTAAAACTAAATGGATGTGTTGTAAATGCTGAATAACCTTGTCCAAAAATAATTATACATGTTAATAATGATGCTATTATTGGTCCAACTGGAAAAAATAATGATTTATAGACAAGATCATTTAATGAATAACCTTGTAAAATAAATGCTCGACGAAATCTCCAATGAGATAATGATATTCCAAACCAAGCTATAAAACCCATTACACCTACTATATTAACTAACCATCGATAAATTATTTTATTACCAATAAATGATAAACCAAATAATATTGTTGATATTAATACTGTAAATATAAGACACCATATTGGAATACCACGTCGATTTACATATGTAAATTGTTTTGGAGCTTTTTCTTCATTAGCTAAAGCATATAACATACGTGTACATGCATAAAGACATGAATTTCCAGCTGATAATATTGCTGTTAATATAACTGCATTCATAATATGTACAGCTGGTTTAAGACCTGATTTAACAAAAACAAGTGTAAATAGTGATACAGCTGCATTTTGAATACCATCATGTCCTAAACTAGGATCATTATATGGAATAACAAGACCCATTATTATAATTGATCCAACAAAAAATAGAATAATACGCCAAATAGTTCCATTCATTGCACGTGGAACATCACGATGAGGATTTGCACATTCATCTGCTGTTATACTAATAGATTCTGTACCCTAAAAAATTTATTTAAATTTAAAATTATAATTAAAATTAAAATTAAACTTACTCCAAATGCAAAAGCTGAAGCAATTGAACTAGCAATAATTCCACTTATACCTTGATAAAAAGGTGCACCATCAATTTTCCAATTATGAAATCCAATTTTAACATGTCCAAGTATACCTATATCAATTAATAAACCAACTATTATAAATATAATAACAGTTAAAACTTTAATCATAGCAAACCAATATTCAGCTTCTCCATAACCTTTTACTGTAAATGCATTTAATATAACCATTATTATCATTCCTAATAGAGACCAAATAATAGTTGGAAAATGTGGTAACCAAAATTGTATAATAATTCCGGCAGCTATTAATTCACCAGCAAGTACTGTTACACCAGCAAGATAATAGTTATAACCTAATGTAAAACCTAATGCTTCATCGACAAAACGACTTGCATATGTACTAAATGAACCACTTGTTGGAAATTGTGTTGAAAGTTCAGCTATTTTAATTTAGAAATTTAAAAAAAATTAATCAAATAAAATCAATATATTAAGAAGACATATCTTGTCAATTTATTGTCTATACTTAGAATTGAATAGAGAGAATTAAGATTAAACAATACGAATGATTATTTTCTTTTATTTTGACTGAAATTTAGTTAAAAGAAAACAAAACATTGATGAGTAAAGACAAAAAACAACGTCTCTACATAAAACACAATCAAAATATGTTTGTTTACAATTAGATATGATTGAAGAGGGTTAATAATCTATTTTCTGTCATATTTAATTGTTTATCTTTGAGAAAATATTCAAATAAATTAAATATGTTGTTTCTATAAAGAAAAAAGTAGTTTCTTTCTTTTTCTCTCTCATTTTTCTAACTTCTCTTCATGAGATTTTCAGATATACAGTGAGCAACAGCGTAAATATTTGATAAAAAAAAATAAAATGAAAGTGATATCTTTAGCAATTTGTATAATGTACAATATACTTTGGATATTGACTGACTTTTTGACTTAAAAAAATTATTTTAGCTTCTGAAGAATTTGAGAAATTTCTAGATACAAAAATGGTTAGGTTTCTCTCATCTTAGAGAAAAGTATTCTTTTTCAAAGAAAGTAAAAAAGATCTACGAAATAAATCGTAGAGCTCTTGCTCTATCGATCTATATGAAAAACTTTGTTCTAATAGTTTCCCTATTGGAAAAAGTATCTATACTTTCTCTATGAAGAATTTTCTAATAAGTCGCTGCTATGGATGAGTAGTTAAGATGTTTAACATATATCCACAAGATACTGTATTTAGATCTCGACTTCATCATACATAGAATGGCCTTGGACAAGTCACTAACGACTGTTTGTCTTGGATCAACCGTTCAGTAGCAAACTGACTATGTGGTTGACATACACAAAAAGGCCCTCGTGACTAATATGCGGTCAGTCAGTATGTATGGAGATAGGTTAAATGATTAAGCCGAAGAATTCTGAGTCAGACCAGCCTTCTATCCAAGGCTACAGCTAGTAATAGTTGTAGGAAAACTTAAACACAGTTCCAAACTTGATGAAACTTTCATAGAACATTTTCTTCTATCTGACACGTCTACTCAGTTAGTATAAAGATACATCAATGCTTCTGGATTGGAATACAGATTTTCTAAAATCCTTGACTTTTAAAGGTTTTCGACATTCTTTTGCCTCGAAGATACTTTAAGAGAAAAATCATCAACTTCACTGGATTTTAAAAGATTTCAAAAAACTTCGTAGACTTTCAGAAGACTACATGAGACTTTATGACTAAACTCTCTGCTGTTACTCTGTCAAGGTCTCCTCATGCATTTTACATTGAAAATCTTTGACAAATTCCGCTTTTTTCTCATCAATCTTTCTAAAATTAATATTTCGATGACAAAAAAGTATTTTTCACAGAAAATAAAACAAGGTTGACGTGCTCTATAGAGACCGTTTAGTGTGAGATAATTTTCACATGTTAGCCTTCGAGAGATTTCATTTTCTAGGAAATCATCGTTTACACTATACTAGAACCCAAAATAATAGAAATCTCTAAATACTTTTCGAACATATACTTTTTAGAAAAGAGAGTTTTTCAAAAAGCAAAAATTTTTCTTTTTTAATCGAGTCTCTTATTATCGAAATACGAAAGTAAAGTATATGATAAATTGTATAGAGCTGACGATTTAGTCTTTCATTATCCATGTGAAAAAAAGGCTAAAAATCTTATAATCGGATTTTTCAACCTTAAAGACAAATTTCATTTAGCTTTTAATCTATTTTAATCTATTTAATGGATGAACAAAGTTTAATCAGTTCAAATCGGTTTCTAATATTCAATTATAATTGATTAAAAAAGATCAAAATCAAATGAAATCTGTCTGTAAAGCTGAAAAATCTGATCAAAATAATGTCATTTTAATCTGAATTTTGGCCTTTTTTATTGGTAGACGTTTTTAGCACACTTTTAATAGGAGTAAAGTAATTTTAATTATGAAAGCATGGTCTTTTAGTCAAAAACCAGATTTTTATGTACTAAGTCTAAAAAATCCACAGAGTAATTTGATTAAAATAGAACTAAAATAGTACCAAATTATTCGACGTTCAATCAGAAAAATTCGAATAGAATCAGGTTTTTTTGTAATCTTTTGTAGACACAAGGCAAATTTTTTTTTGCCTTGCCGTGCCTTGTTACAGTCTCTGATCGATTACTTATAAAATTGCTTAATGAAATAATTGCGCAATCTCAACTGAAACAATTTATATACCATTTCCAACTTTATTTTATTTATCGGACTTTAACTTAGTGACACCTTCATGGTTTCTTACCACGAGGAATCAAAAAAAAACATTAATAAAAGTGCTTCACTTTCGAATCTTGAGAAAAGTACTTGTGTTTGATGTATATGATTAAAATCGATTAACAATTAAAAATAGATTAGAATCGATTATCGAGTAATACATGATGAGAAGCAAGTATCAAGCAAGAATAAATTAAAATTGATT